TACATCTTTATTTCTTCATTTATAGTTTGGGGAAATGAAACAAGGCCAAGAGAATTTCAGTGGTTTTTAAAAGCCATATTTTAATTGATACTACTTTCCAGTCTAGTGTGATTTTCATGTTTTGTTCAGTTCTCCCAATTACTTCTAAGCCCACAGGACAGATCTTAGGAGAAAAATATATACGAGGGGCTGGGCACAAAGGCAAGCTTGAGCAACACCTAATTCAGAGAGGGTGCTTGGAAAGACCACCCTCATTTCTATCACAGTGAAGCATTCTAGATGTTCATGATAAGAGAGGTAGATTTTTTTCCATGTTTTTTATTGGTGTATCATAGTTGTATATACTAAAGGGATTTGTTGTTACATGTTCATACATGCACACACTATAACAATATAATTTGGCCAACATCACTCCCAGCACTTCCCTCTTCCCTCCCTGCCTCCTACATTGTGATCCCTTTCCTCTACTGATTTCCCTTTCATTTTCATGAAATCCTAGCTTCTGCCCTTTCTTTTCTTTTTTCCTCTCTAGCTCCTACATATGTGAGAAAATAGGATACTTGACTTTCTGAGTTTGGCTTATTTTGCTTAACATAATGGTCTCTGGGTCCATCCATTTTCCTGCAAAATAAGTGGATTATGTATCAATTTTATTTTCTCTTTACCCTCTGAAAATTGAATGGGATTTTCCTAAAAAAATTAAAAGTCTCAAAAGCTCCATTCTCATTGGTATTGCTAAGTTGTCTAAAAATAGATGGTACTCAAAAAGGAAATAATCTATAATTCCTTAGTAAATCAGGTTAACTCTAGTAACTGTTATAACTTCTTTTAACAGATCTTTTTAAAAAATATCTTTCTGTGGTTGAAAATGATAAAATTATGTTGGTCTTGATTTGAAAGCTATAAAGAAAAAAATAAATCTTAATATTTCTTCTACTGATACACTCATGATACACAAAGCAACTCAAGGACAAAATCCTAATAGGATAAAGGGCCAGGTATATAAACACAATTTAAGGAACAGAAAATCCAAAAGACCTATGGAAAAAAGCATGTAAGATCATCAGAGAAATGTAAATGAAAATGAAAATTACCATTAGTTTTACATTACACTTATTTAAAAAATTAAAAAAAAAAACAATGTTAGAAGCTGGTTTAGGTAAACTGCGGAGTGTATACATGTGTATAGAAACTATCATGTTGGTACAGGAAAGAATACACTACTGTTTATAAGAGCAATTTGACAGTATTTAGTCAAATAAAACACAAGCATGCCATATGACTTAACAATTCCACTCCTGAGTTTATTTCCTTCCAAACTTCTCACACACATCTGAAAGGAAACATATACAAAGATATTCACTGCAATGTTGTTTGTGGTAGCAAGAAGTTAGGTGCAATTTGGAAGTCCATCACTGATAAATGAAAGAGAAAGTTGAAGATGTACCCCCAAAAATACCACGGACAGCTGGAAGAGATAGGGCAGTTAGACACAAGGCCACAAGGTGGATTTTAAGAACTCAGAGCTAGTAACAGCAATACACATACCATTTATATTACAATAACAATTGCAAAAATTAAAGATATGCTCACAAAAAAATGGACATTTTGCAAGAACTTTTTTTAAAAAAAATACACATCGAAAGTATTAGAATAATTCTTTCGTACAGGAGAAGAGAAAGGAAAAGGGCTCTGCGGATAAAAAGAAATTAGATACATGGATGAATAGATAACTAAAACAAGAGAAGTAAGAAAACACATCAAAATAAACAACTGGAACCATGAAAACAGGAAACAAAAGGAGAAAAAAAGAAAAGTAAAATTTGTTTTTCTTATTCAAAGTAGCATGAACTTACTGCACTCAAAAATGAACTGGAATATCACTACACAGTCCCCCTCAGCTTCCCTCACATGTCATCTCCACCTCATGCAATGATCAGAGGCCTGCAGCAGTAAGACCAAGGCTGCAGGCTAGGCGAGGGCATACCTTCCTAAAGAAAGAAACAGTACTGATGTGTGTGAGGTTGGATTTCAAGATAAGCATAAACTAGAAGGAAGAAAAAAAAAGTTTATCTGTTTTTGCCTAAGGGATGCTTGGAAATGGTGAATTTGGCTTCGTATGCTACCAATGCATTGACTAGGAGACATCAAAAGACACCAGGACTTGTAAGGGATATAGAGTCCTAACTGGTGAATTGCAAACTGCATGTATTTCTCACTAGGTCCAGAGATACTAAAAGCCTGACCATAAAGATATAGCATAGTTTCGTTTTGACTCACTCAAAATCATAACAAATTTTTGTTTTGATAAAACTGCTTCATGAAAGATTACATAAATTTCCTGCTTCTCCAATTTCCCACACTCTAATCTTCCACTTTGTTCATGTCTATCTTTTTGCCTCACCTACTTTCTTGATGGTGAAGAAAATCAGAAGAAAGAAGTTGCTGAACTATTCAGTTTTTAATTTGTACTTATTATAGTTCAATGAGTATGTCAGAAAAAGCAGAGCTACAAAGATAAAATCCATTCCTCTTTAAACTGAGTGCTGCATTAGTAAGAATTTTGCTATAAAATGATTAGTGATATTTTTTTCTGGGAAATGACAGTATAACAGAAAATGAGTTGACACTTTTCAAATAGGTATTGGAGATGCTTTGGTGCCCTTGACACACAATCACACATATTCTCAGGATGCTCTGGAGTTTCTAGCACAAAGAACAGATAGTACAAGACCTAATATATAAGACAGCCAATTTACATCTACCCCAAGATATGTGATTCTGTGGGATACAGTGTCTTTCTACAGTTTATACTATAGCAGTAGAAAATATTATGGGCATCATTAGAGCCAAATTGAAAATATATACAATGACATTTTAAGCACATAACTAAAATATAGCTCTTATACACTGAAGCCAGAAAGCATTTGGGATGGCCAAGTTAAGAACAAATTTTATGGAGTCAATAGAATATAAGAGATTCCCTCCCAACTATTTGCTGTTCATCTAAATCCAGAGTTATGAATCTAGGCATGCTGTCTGTCAAATAAAACTATTCCCCTCTTCCATTCCCATGCTTTCTCCTGGTGAAGCAACCATGGAAAAGCCTCAAATGATGCCAACAGTAACCTGTTCCCAAAAGTCTACAGAACACGGGAACATCCAAATCAAGCTGAATTCATTTACCATTAGTGGAGCAAAATATAAACCTTAACCCATACTGTTTTATAGCATTAGACTTATGACTTTACAAGTTTACTGTCCATCAATTTCTACAAGTCCTTGTCCTGAAAACACACCTGTACCAGAAACTTGAAAAACAATACAGGGATGATCCCCACGGATGAATTCTTTGTAGGAACTCAAAATCTTAATGGTATAATGCTAAAGTAACAGAGGAACATGTCTATGTTAAATAACTAGTGTCCTTATAAAGAGTTATTGTTATTTATTTATTACTGGGGATTGAACCCAAGGGTGTTTACCACTGAGCTACATACATTCCCAGTTCTTTTTAATTTTTTTATTAGTATTATTATTTGAGATAGGGTATTGCCAAGTTACTGAGGCTGGTCTAGAACTTGGGATCCTCCTGCATGTACCTCCGTGCCTGACTAAGTTATTGTAATTTAAAGATGAAACTTCAGGTGTTGTCTTGTTTTTTTACACTTGGGGATGATAATTTTTACTGATGGTAATTTTTAATTGCATTTTGCTGCTATCAATAAAGAAGAATGGAAAAGGAACTTTCTCCTTCATGGGAAGCTGGAATCCCTTGTTCTACATTAAAAGTTTCTTCTGATTCATATGCAGAGGAAGTGAATGAAATTGGCTTTTCCCAGAATGGCAGGAGATGACAGATTTTGTGTTTGAAAGGTAGAGATAAATGAAGTTAGTGGAAATCTGGCAGAGATATCCAAATGGTTCCTACCACAAGCCACAAAATGTCAGATCACTGAGAGGGTGGCTTGTGCAGCAAAGGGAGGATTACTCCCAACTCCAAGTGTGTGATTGAACTTGTACAGTCTACTTTGCCTGCATTTAAATGTCATAAATCTATTCACAAATATTTCATGAAAACAAGTTAAGGTCTGGTTTACAAGAAATCTGGTTCTAAAAAAAGCCCTTGCAATGACTTTTTCTATGAACTCCTTGACAGCTTACTTTCTATTTTTCAGAGAAGACATAACATTTATTTATTCAGTTAATATTTATTGTGTTCATTCTTTATGCCAACCCCTATATTAGGCACTAGGAGCACAAAAAGAAACAGGACACTCTTTCTGTTTCTGAGTAGGTCCCAGCTGAATAAGGAATACTGGCAGGAAAAGAATTATTTATATACCAGTTACTACAGGAAAACAGGAGAGTAACAGATTCTCCCTGGGGAAGTTATAGAAGGTTTATATGGAGGATATTGCCACAATACCGCACCCCAAGTATGGGGCTGGAGCTTTACTCCTCTAGCCACCTGGAATTGGAAGCTGCTCCAGACTAGCACAAAATGTCTGGCCACAACCACACCCACTTCCCAAGGGCAGTCCATGTGCACAGACTGATCCACACTGGGAGACCCAGCTCCCTGCAGCATCTCCACTGTAGCACCCCAGCTCCCAAGTTTCCAGTAGTGCTGGCTGGGGCCTGTCTTATGAGGGTATCTGTAATTCACTTTCTTCACCTCTTTTTTTTTTTTTTTTTTGCAGTACTGGGGATTAAACCCAGAGGCACTCTACCATTGTGTGATTCTCAGCCCCTTTTTAATTTAATTTAATTTTTATATTTTTTTTAAATTTTGAGACAGGTTCTCCTTAAATTGCCCAGGCTGACAATGAATTTGTGATCCTTCCGCCTTTTGGAGTTGCTGGGATTCCAGGGTGGCCCACCACACCTTGCTTCATCTTCCCCCTTTTAACTTTTTTCTGAAAGAGGTGAATAGTAAATGTTAGATGCCACACAAGGTCAATCTCTGTTGGGTATCCCCTCCACACACACACACACACACACACACACACACACACACACATTAAAAATGTAAAAACCATTCTTACTTAGCTCAGGACCACATACAAACATGCCATGGACCATATTTGGTTTGTTAAACTCTGCTCCACCAAAACCAGCTTTCCTCAACTGCTCCCCACAGGTATGGATCCCAAGATTACTCCCCAGAAAACATCCTGCAAGAAAATATATCTCAGAGTCTGATTATGATGAAAAAAAAGCCATAGGGGCCAAAATGTTTAACAAGAGTTTTCTGGACCAGGGTAGTGACAATGTTAAACTTTACCTAAACCTGTGGTCCTAGAGAATGGAGACAATCTTTCTTACCTTTTGTTTTCCAAAATCCCTCTCCCCTTATGTGTCCTGGAAAAGGGCTAATGGCAAAGAACCATATACTCTGATGTAAACAAGACTCAAGGTTTACCCTGCCTCCTAACTCCCATGAGACTCACAGATGGCTCCCTCGTTTATATGTGACAAGACCAGACACTGACCCTGAAAATTCCCATCCTTTATCTCATAAATGATTAACTGAACTGTTTATCCCCCTAAAACTAGCTTGACTGAGGGATAAACTCTTCTTGCTCATCTAACTGACCGAGCCTCCCTCTGATTACAAAAACAACCCCAGCTGCAAAATCATCCTATCTATGGCTTGTCTACTCCTCCCTATAAAGTTAAAGGCAAAACCACCCTGCCAAAACACTCTGATCTCCAACCTTGGTGCACTCCCTATTGCAACACTTCCTTACTTGTTCTGGGTTTTGCCTTTAACAGCGAAGACATGACTTCAAGCAGAAGAAACATGCGCAAAGGCACTCAAGTACAACAGGACCAGATATGGTCAAGAGACTAGGAGTTTTGAGAAGGTGGGAATTTCGAGCACAGTTAGAGGATTATGAAGGAGTGGCTTGAAGGGCCTAATATACTAAACCAAGTATTCACTCTGCTCCAGTGTTGTGAAGCTCCTGATGGCCTTTGTAAAGTCCTCTCTTGAAAACAAAGTGGCTTGACCACTAGCCAGGGGTGAATAGTTCCTGCAAGAAAGAATAAATAAACAAAAACCTTTAGAAGTTTTCACCAAGAGAACATGGTCCCTTAAGGTAGGGATCTTCAGCTGACAAATCCCTATGATTCTCAAAAGAATTTAGGAAATATATATAATCTATTTTACATTTTTAAGTAGATGTTTAAGGTTTGTCCTTAAAAGTTTAAAAGGTGGGTAAATGTCAGACACATTGTAGATGTTTATATTTTTATAAATCATTCAAGTTTTAAAATATATCCTGTGGACTCTAAGTACCGTACATGTGTCCATTCAAAAAAATAACTGAAGATTTTTCTGATTTTATATAATTCCTTTATCTTCTTGCATTTCTTAATCTCATTTCACCAACAAATTTTGTCTTAATATATTTTAAGCTTGAAAGTTTTAGTGATTATTCCATGAACTATTTTGCTACCAGAAAAAGGTGTATAATATTTTTTCTGTATGATCAAGATCTAAGAGTTTTTAAGTTGCTTTCTTCTATAATCAACAATTCAAAACTATATAAATTATATGAAATAAATATATTATAAATTTGATGTTATGTTTAAAGGTGAAAACACAACTTGTTAGAAATGCACCTCAGTGATATGGATTGAGCTAATTTATTTTCCATTAGTTTATGCATCTCTGAATGAATATGTCTCATTGATAAAGAGTGTTCACCATCAAATCTATTTTTATTTTTACTCTATTGATAAAAGCAATGAGAAACTTTGGCCAGTTAATAAGTGAATGGGATGAAAATAAATTTCTTAAGATGATGTAGTCAGTTATCTAAATTCTATTGAATTTTATACCAAAAAATCAGAGTAATATAGTATGAAAAATTATTTCTAATGGTATATCAATTGACAACTTGTTAAGTAGACCTTCCATTGTATTGAAAGCAAAGAATTAAAACCCAACTCATTAGCAAAGGGCTTTGTTTTTCCATCTTAACTTCTGGAAAGAAGAATACAAAGAGCATCAAAACTCATTAGTGACCAGAAGGACATCTGGAACATTAGAAAGCATATCATTTATGACAGGGAAGGAGAAATTAAAATATTAAATTCAGCCCTTAAATTTAAAATATGTCAAAATCCAAGGTTAATTCATTTAATTAGTGGAAAAATGCACCATATAACCCAATTAAGGAAAACCAAACCTTGTGGTTAAACCCATTAGAAACATCTGGAAAATAAATCAAACATTTTGAAGTTTTACTTATAATGTAAATGTTACTACACATTTTTAGAAATACAAAAATCACTGTGAGATAAATTAGGAATCAGATCTTGTACATTACTAAAAGCCATCAAAACTAAAAGTTTTCATAGATAACATAATGTGATTTATCCATTTGCTTGTAAGTTGAAAACATGATGAAATGCCATATATGCAAAATTGTACAAATTATGAATTATTTATAAACTTAGAAGCATAAACCCAGGAATTGTATCTCTTTGGTTAGTTAAGTATATGTGCATGTATTAAACTCTGATGTTCAGCCTTTGTATAAATTCAAAAACTATGTATACAACATAGTAAATAAATTCATAATTAAAATCCTTTATATATTTCTTGAAAGAAATGATATGTACTACTAAAAATTACTTAGTCTAGCAGTTAGCATACAGTTACATTTTTTGCTAGGCAATAGAAAATATTAAATATTTTATAGGTAAAACAAGATTAGGTTGACAGAAATCAGGGCAAATATTTTATAAAATGATTTGAGAAAACAAGTGTAAGCACTTTAGAAAATGATGAACTCCAATCTGAAAGAAATCATGTAAAATGTTGAGTTTCAGTTTTAAGTGCCTTATAAAAAAATTATATAGTCCCAAATTTCCAGTTTCATGTAAAAGAATCAGCAATCTAATTTTTACTCCTTGGACTCTTCATCTTGAGCTAATAACACAGCTGGAGCGGGACTGCTAGAAACAACTGAAAAAAATTGCTTACCTTTAACTGGAAATTTCTCTTCTCAAGGGGCTTTCTCAAGAATGGCTCATTCTTCTGCGGTACTCAAAGCAAGAGGTGCAAGCACCCTGTTATTCCACTCCACGGTATGTCTGAATTCAGAGCATGGACAGCACTCAATCAACACTCAAATGCCCTTTTCTGAGCACCCTTGAACTTTTCACACCCTGGGAAAAAATGCACCTTAGTCAGATGAGTTTTGGATAAGGGGTATGTCATTTTTATAGAATGAAAGCTACTATGAAAAGAAAGGTAGCAAAAGAGAACCTCCTTGCATGTGCAGAAGAGTGCTTAGCAGATGTGCTTCAGGAAAAGTAGCATCTATGGGAACTGAGAAAACTGCCCCTCTCTCTTCTTCACAAACTTCCAAAGGTATTTACAGTCCAGTCAGAAGACTGCTGCCATTAGGCATGCACAGTGTAGTTCTCGAGAAAAAGCTCAGAAAAAGGAAGTGAACAAGGTTTCTATGCCTTACTCTATGTCACAAGGGATTCTATATACATGCCTCCATAATATTTCTGTTATAGAAGGAGTTGACCTCTTTATGTCACCCTAAAAAAGGGAAAAAGCCTAACTGGAGATCATTACTTGGTCACTTCAGTATAAACAAGAGCGTTATATCTACCCCAAATTAAAAGTGACTCATCTGTCCCTGGGAGCTAGCTCCTAAAACAGGAGTGGGAGTAGGCTATGGTAGAAGGAGGTTAGACTGCTGGGGGAGGGCTACAGGGGCCTGCAGCCTGGGCATCACTGTTTAATCCCCTGAAATAACTGCAGGAAGAAAAATTCCCATTGTAGAGCTGACAAAGTGGCATAAGCAATCTGTGTTTTTTACTTAATATTTTTGACAGAAAAATAAAAAGAACTTTAATGAAAAAGTCTTAAGGTTGATGTTTACTTCTTTGACGTCTGATCATTTCACTAACAGACATACAAAGGGAGACATTCATTCATTTAGGGCATATGAATTAGAAAGAAATCTCTCTTTTGGCTCAAGTTATCTAAATTAGGCAATGTATAATTCTGTATGTTAAGAATTATTGTCTAAATTTATAGTAAAATAAAATATGAAACATACAAAGAATGAAGAAAGGGATTCGTTTTTCAAAGCTGGAATATTTGTGTATGCTTCACAGTTATGATGATAAAAAATAAGGAAAGTCATTCTACAGAAAACCTGGTAGAAAAACTACTTGGGTGCTTTAATTTCCATATTAAAAATTAATCTTGCAATATTTTATACAAAATCTTATAATTGGTTCTATAGTTAATTAAAATTTCATTAGTGAACAGATATGAAAAGCACAGCATATTTGAAGTATTTATTATTCCTTCTTGGATTGCTAATGAATTAAAACCTCAAGTGCATCTGTATTAAAGTCACCTTCCTGCTCATTTATCTACATACTCAGAAAGAGTAATATGTTGAAACCAAGACGGCTTCGTATATTTGGTACTATTATTTTCCCTAACGAAATCATGAATGTAAATTTATTCAGTGGTACTTTCTGAAAAATTAACTACTGTTGCAGCTAACATAGTCTTTTCCAGTCCAGTTACTTTAGTAATTAAGATTCTATTTGAAGTTCATTTTCATTTAGGCATATTATAACTTTTGCCAACATTTTTCTTTTCACCCAAAGGTTGGTGTGAAGTCACGTCAACAGCATTTTTAAATGTTCTGATTTGTAGATTCTTCATGGAATAAGATACTCTTTCACCCTCTGGAGTCTGGTTCATATTCCTTAACCTATTTAAATAGAACTAAAAGGAGCCAACCATTGAAAGCAACATCAGTGTTTTTTAAAAATACTTGGTATATTTGTTAATTGCAAATGTTCTACTACAAAATTAATTAAATCACCTACAAAGTAAAATGCATAGATTTATTTTTATTAGTAGTGAATTTTATTAAGATCTGTTTCTATATTAAGAAAACCATAAAAACATTCTTTAAGGGCTTAAAATATTTCCTGTTATGAAATTTTCTCACTGTTAATTAATTAAAAGCCAATTGAATAATATTATTATAATTATGAGCATTTCAGCAGACTTACTGCTCAAAATATAGCAAGGTGAATTTTTCCACCTGAAGCAAGAATAAGACTTTTTGATAGGGGTTATGCAGTTTTTTTAAATTCCAATTTACACAAACACACACACACACACACACACACACAACGTAGTGGTCAAATCCTAGATTCATTTAAGAGTGAGAAGAGAAAGGAAGAAGGAGGCTCTAACCCCACTAGCCTATTATCAGAACGAACTATGTGAAATTGCTGTTATTTGAAATTGCAGAATTGGCAATTTCTTACAGTTCAGCCTATAAAGAGGAGTTGTTTTATTTTGTTTTGTTGGGTTGGAGGGGGGTTTGGGGTGCTGGGGATTAAACCCAAGGCTTCACATTGTTCTGCAGTGAGCCATATTCCCAAGCCTGGAACCCATTTCTAATCCATTTTCATAGTTTTTCTATACCACATTCCCCACAGAGAAGCTCTGTAGAGGGGTCTGCACTGCTTCTACTGAGGAGTAGCAGGGGCTATGCCAGGTGAAGAGGAATCTTGTGGAGGTTTCTACAAGTGTCATTGTTTCAACCAGATAAGCTGTTTTGATCCTTTTTATATTAAAGACTCCCAGTAAAACAGGATTTAAAATAGAATTCATGCCTAAAAAATAATCTTGAAAAATCATAGGTATATTCCAACACCACAAAAATATATTGAAATCACAGTATGTCATCCAATACCCTTAACTGAGAGTAGATGCTAAGGCCCTGAGAGATTAAGTGCTTCCCCCAGGGCCACAGTGTGACTCCTCTCCTCGGCAGTCACAACAGAAACCAATTTCCTTCAAGTCTCATGCTCTCTTCAATATACCATTAAATAATATTATTACCTCATGGGTATATGACCCAAGCCCTCCATTTTCTAGGTTATGACTTCCAGGTTTCCCACATCTGTTCATGAGCTCCGTTCTCCGGGCACCTCACCATCTTTCTCTCTTCTACTGACATCCCATTTTTCAAGTTTCTTCCTAATGAAAGTGACCCAGGATTGAACCTGATGGATTTTGACCAGTTCCAAATACAGTAGAACCACAGCCCATTTGTTCTAGATGCATAGTTATGTTTTCAGATATTTTATGGCAGAAATACAGATGACAGATACTACTCTCAAGGCTCTCCCCAAGCTTCTGCTACTTGAAGAACTAAAGAGAGAGAGAAAAAAAAAAAAACTACAAGATGTCACCTGATAGGCACACAAAGAAAACTACAGTAAGAGTGAAATGGAGCATTTTGGGTAGAAAAATGGAAGTTTATCATAAGGAGTCTCTGTAGGGGGTACCTTCACCTACCATAAGGTACAGTTGACCAAGCAGCTCAAAAGATTGGAACTAGCAATTTCCTCAAAGGAAGAAAACTTCTTCTGTTCAGTCCTTGTGAGAAAACATCTTTATGGGAATAAAGTACCATCTTTAACTAAGCGGACTATTGTCAGAATGGAGGACAATTATAGGATGTGTGGGTTAGATAGGTGATGGAGAAGACTTCTGCCTGTTAAACTCACCCCTTTTGTGAGAACATGCTTTGTAAGTTCTCATGTCAATATTTTATATGTAAATCCAGGTCAGGGAGGAACGGAGGAAACTATTCGAAAACACAAAATACTAACGACATTACATATGAAAATGCAGCTATTGTATAACATTTGGAGCAGAATGTATTCAAATCTAAACAAATAAATAATGGAGTATCCAAGAGCTCCAATTCTCTGTAAAAGGACAAAAGATTATTTTAAGACCTGAAGAGCCTAAATAATTTATCAGTAAGGTCAAAGAACACTTATTACACAATCTGTGATGACATATCTAAACTTTTAACTATCTGTATTTTATTTTACTAATTTCTGTGAATTTGAAATCAAGCTAATATTTTTCTCCTCCACCAAGAGTACCAATGCCATTTGGGTAATGATTCTGGCCTCCCATTAATTTGTAGACCTTTTTTAAGCTATATTAAATTCTTACATATGTATGTTTTCATTTTTCTGTTTTCCTTCCCTTAAATTCTCATCACCTGTTTTTAAAAATGATGCATTAGGACATCATAATAATTCTTCTTTGTCAAAGGTCTTGACCATATTTATGTGGTGATTACTCTTCAGATTAATTTTAGAATTTTTGTTGGAAGTTATTTTGCAATCTGATTGGAAAACTGTTAAACATATCATTGAGTTTGGGGCAGATTAACAGCCACTCCAACATTTTTGAGTGTTCTTAATTTTCAAGACACTGTGCTAAAAGTTTTTTTAAATACGTGATTTAATATATTTACAAGAACCCTAGAAAGTATCATTATCATCAGTAGCATAAGTATTAAAATTGAGTTTGGGGAATTTTAAGCAGCAGTAAGTGGAGGAGTTAAAAGCTCAGCCTGGGTAAGTCTGGTGTCAAGCCCATGATCCTAATAACTATTATATACCACCTATGTTCATTAGCTTTCCTTTGCTGGAACAAAATACCTGAGAAAATCAACTTAAAGGAGAAAAGATTTATTTTGGCTTATAGTTTTGGAGATCTCAGTCCCATGGTTGGTTGACAGGTTGCTTTGGGACTTGGAATAGCACAGTATATCATGGCAGGGGGCATTTGGTGGAACAAATCTGCCTCAGCTCATGGTAGCCAGAAAGCAAAGAGAGAGCAGAATCCCTTCAGGGGCATGCCCCCAGTGACCAAACTTCCTTCCACCAGACCCCATCTCCTATAGGTTCTATCACCTCCCAATAGTGCCATAGCCTGGTGACCAAGCTTTTAGCATATGGGCCTTTGGGGGACATTTAAGATCCAAGCCATAGCACTACCTCCCCTTTTGAGTATTTCAGTACATCTCAGCATGCATTCAAAAACACTTTCACATACAGTAGTAAAATGTTCCAAGTTTCTTGATTTTTCTTTACATTTCTTAAGTTGATTCCTAAATATATTGTGCTTTGTTCTGTTGCAGTTATGACTGAGAGCTCTTGGCTGGTTTATCTAATTGGTTCATATTCTATGGTGGAGTATATCAATTTATTAATATTTCATTTAGAATTTTATTTTTAATGAAAGGTGGGATTCGTTTGTAATTCTTTTGGGTAGCTTTTCAAATTTTGGTATCATATGTGATACTTTATTAGATGTTTTATGTATTATAACAATCAGGGTACCATCAAGAAACAAATATTATAAACAAATGAAGGTAATTCTGAGAAAGATCAATAATAAAGTTGCCGTGTACAGGTAAACTGCAAGCTACACTGCAATACCTAGGGTTGCTGACACATGTAGACCTGAAG